TTAAACTCTATTAAATTAAGAGGGTTTATGTCAATTAATAAGGCTTTTTTGGAGAAGTCCAGGCCTTTGCAGGGTTTCCTGTCCGTGTATCTCCCTCTTGCATTGGTGTGCCTGAGCGTGGCACCACAGATAATGATAATAAATGTAAATACCTCCGGTGAAAAGCAGTGGTGAAGTGGGATCTGTTTGAAGTGCATTTGGGACTTGGCTGCTTTGTTAGCCTTAAAAAAAAAAAAAAAAAAAAGCAACACTGAAGCATATGAAATACTACTTTATTTTGATATCAAAAGAACTGAAGAAAAATCTGTTGCATTTTACTGATTGGGCTTCAGCTATATCACTGTCTTTCTCTCCGGGCAGAGCTTTATTATGAATGTTTTGTTAGCGAGATAGTTGTGACAGTGAGTCTTTTAAATTGCCCTGAGAATTTCAACAAAATGGCTGCTTTCCTCGGGTGTCGTTCCTATCTGGATATCAACAGGCTCGCTGCCCTGAGCTGGAGGCAGTCTTCCTCGGCTGCAACATGTAAAATTGAATAGGTGGCTGTTGTAAACGAGATCTGCTGTTTCAGCTTTCATCAAACTGCGTTTGCAGGAAAATGGAGCGTTTGAACGTGGTTTGCTTTTTCCCTTGCTCGCCGTCTGATTCTGGTTGCTTTACTTATTAACGTTTTTCTTTATAAATAGAAAATACCCTTTGTAAAAGCACGCTTCTCCCTGCTGCAGCTTCAAGCCTAAGTAGTAATCCTGTCTGAGCAGCGTCGTGGCCCGTTCATAACTAATCTTTGTGGTGTAAGAGTCGTAGACGGTAATCCTGGGTGCCAAATGAGAAGCCCATCCAGTTTCAGAACAGAAACTATAACAAACCAGTGCTGCGTAGTCTGGTGGTGTTTAAATATTCTGTTACCTTCCACAGTGCTGCACAGAGCCAGTGTCCACAGTGATTGCCGAGGGCTCGTACAGCAGCGACGGGGCTGATATGGGGCCGTAGCAGAACTAGCGTCCAAACAAGGGTTGAAACATCAAAGTATTTTGGTGGTGTTTTAACCCCCTATGGCCGAGTTAGAGGACGTAGCTGCTCCGCAGTAGCTTACCTCTCATTGTGATAGATGCTGTGATTTACTCCTCCATAACTGCTCCCAAATAATTGCGAGGTAAGTGTGTGCATGCAGGCAATTAATGCGGAGCAGCTGTTACCGGTGCCTTGCCTTAAATTAGAGCAATTCTTAATGCCAGAGGTTTTTGCATTTGTATTTAAGTGTGGTTTACATTATGCAAACCAAGCCTCTTAGTGCTGCCTCCCTCCCTGTCTCCAGTCCTCCCTGCGTAATGCCAGCTCAGGTTGTATTGCTGTCCGCGCTGCCTACCAGCAAGGGCAAATCCTCGCCTTCTGTGTCAATGAAACAACTAGTTAAGTCTTAAATATAAGGTCTTGGATGTGGCAAGCAGAGAAAGCAGGCAGCTTTTTGGTAGGAGCTTGTCATGCTGTTGGAGGGTTGTTTTTTTTTTTTTTTAATTAACTTGTTGAACAAATACTGCTGTAGCTAGAGAAAGCTGAAGCCCAACAGCTTAACCCCCCACTCCTTATTTGTTGTTATACACCAAGCCAACAGTGCTGGTCTCTGAAGTATAATCCTAAATAACGCGCTGTTTTGTGCACAGTGGGGAAAATAGCTTGCTTTTTGTGATGGTGGGGTGGTGGTGGTGCCTGATCTAGGGTAACTTGTTTTGGAAAGCTGGGGAAAATGAAGAAGCCACAAATGAAACAAGACCCTCTTGTTCTTCATGGTTACTTGTACTTTGGTGAGCGGTATCTGCTGGATTTGCCTTGTGGCGCTCAATAGTCGCTGCAGACCCCTTTAGTTCCTTATGAATATGGCATAACTTACCCTTCAGTGCAGGGGGAGCCTGTCTGTTGTCGTCTTTAAAAGGAAAAGTCGGACAGAGACCACTACCTCAGTTGCCTCTTAGCCTATTTAGTGATTAATAGATATTCCCAGAAGTCTTAATACAGTGGCCAAGTGGGCTGCTGTAGCAGAAGGTAGGACAAGACTCAAAGCTAATTTCAAGCTCTTGTAGTGCTGTTGTGTGAGAAGTGAAGAAAATACTGTATCTTTGTGCATCCTTTCAGCAGATCTCTGGTCTGAGTGGAGAATCCTTATGTTTGAGAAGACAGTATTACAGAAAAAGATGTTATGGATTGCCAAATACGAAGTAACGTAGAATGATCAAAACCTAAAGCCCTGAAAGAGGCTGCAGTCCTCCTCCCTGAAGCTGGAGTAGCCTTTTGGTGAAGCAGACCCGTAAATTCCCGTTCGGCTGCTTGCTGGCAGGACTGACTTGAAAGAGTTGAACCGCTGGCTCCCTTCCATCTGCAGTGCTGGCGCGGGCTCTCTGCTGCTGCGCTGGATCAGGGCTTGATGTTGTTGGAAAGCTTTTTCTCGAACTCTTTTTCTTCTCTTTACGTGGGGTTCCATGCTGGTTTAGCATGGTTCCTGCCTGGCTGCAGGGCAGAGTGCTTGTCGGCCCCGCTGCCAGGGCGAAAGGTGAGGCTGCAGCCTCTCTGGGAGATGCAAACTGCCCATGGACCATCCTGTAGCCCGAAGAGCACCTCACCCTGGCCTCTGGGTTTGTACTCGGTGGATTCACATCATGATAGCGTAGCAAGGTGTCAGCTTGCTGCTTTGGCTGAGAGCTAGTTAGAACAGTTAGAGTTGGAAGGGACCTTAAAGATCATTGAGTTCCAACCTCCCTGCCCTGGGCAGGGACACCTTCCACCAGTCCAGGCTGCTCAAAGCCCCGTCCAGCCTGGCCTTGAACACTTCAAAGGACGGGGCATGTAAAATAACTCCATCAGAGCAGTGAGCTAGTCCAGCTTGTCCCAGAGCTGCACCATCGCTGCTTTTGATGCAAGAAAATGGGTAAATGTGCCTGAAAATGGGATTGTCCCCTTAGGAGGCAGCTGTTAGCCCGACTCCTGCTAGCGTGCTGAAGGTCGGGGTGCTCCATCGCTGTTTTGTCATGGCTGCTTGCATTAAAGATCATTGAGTTCCAACCTCCCTGCCCTGGGCAGGGACACCTTCCACCAGTCCAGCCTGCTCAAAGCCCCGTCCAGCCTGGCCTTGAACACTTCAAAGGACAGGGCATGCAAAATAACTCCATCAGAGCAGTGAGCTAGTCCAGCTTGTCCCGGAGCTGCACCATCGCTGCTTTTGATGCAAGAAAATGGGTAAATGTGCCTGAAAATGGGATTGTCCCCTTAGGAGGCAGCTGTTAGCCCGACTCCTGCTAGCGTGCTGAAGGTCGGGGTGCTCCATCGCTGTTTTGTCATGGCCGCTTGCATGTGGTTGTCAGCCAAGCACCTCCTTGTGTTTAGTTAGGAGCTCGGATCTATATCGCCTGGGAGACTTGTTCAAAAAAGGGACTGGGGCTGTGTTTTCACAATACCGAGTGTTTGGCAATACCCGTTTCTGGGTTTTGTGCCCCATACTGCGTAGCGGATTTGCCGTCCCAGCTGTTTATGGGGCTCTGCATGGAGTGGATCAGGGATCTGGTGTAACCTTTGTAAAGCTGCTTTTGTTCACATGGGCTTTTTAAGCTGGAAAAAATTCTCGATTTGGCCTTAAACAAGCTGTGCTGGCATTAATAAGAGTAAGAACACACTGCAGCGTAAGAGGAGTGTCGCTTTTTATAGTATAAGCCACAAGTCTAGTTCTTTGCGCTTACATTTTTGACCCTAGGGCTGCATTTCAGTGAGGGTTTTGTGGGTGTCCCTGCTGAAAGATTGCTGTCCCACTTGTCCCCTCCTGCCCTCTCCCTTGTGCTAATGCAGCTGTTAGCGTGGTCAGGCCATCAAGCAGACTGGGAAACTGATTCAGTGGAAAAAAAGCAACTTAAAGGAGAAGAGGAGGGGGAGAAGACGGCTGTACCAGCCTGGGTGGGTGAGCGCAGGACATGAAGTGTGCGGCTGAGGGTAAGGATGGGGCGGGATCGCTGCTTTGGGTGGCAGCATTAGCTTTTGGCAGCTTCAAGTTGTAGCTATAGCCCGCGGGCTCAGAAAATCACATTGCTAGTTTATGTCCTACTTTTCAACAGCTTCAGAGTATCCATTGAAAATTTGCCCAAAGGCAAAACTTCCATTTTGGTGTCGAATGGCAAAGTACACATAGCTGCTTGTTGTTGCCTCTGTTGCATGTAAATGGTCCTCAAACTGAGCTGAGATAGTGTGGATTTAGGGCCCTAAAACACAGTTCTGGGGTGTAACAGGAGCCATGTGGTTTGTTATGTTTCTCGTTTGACCAAACCCTTGGGTGATGATATGGATTAAGTTGGAACAAAAAGTGTACAAGTGAAAACCAGCTTTTATTTCCTCGTCCTATTTCTGACCTTTGTAGCCTGTATTTCTTCGCTTAGTTGTATAATTGCATAGTATTTGCTGAACCTCGGGGTGCTTTGGGAACATCTGGAGACTTCAAAGGACATTGTCATCTTATACTGGCAGCCGGTTACTTTCTGGGAGAGTTTTCAGCCCAAGTGTTTTGGTGTTCAGGGCTGGGACAAACAAGAAATACTCTTTTTCCGCAAATAGCGTGGAACTTGTGGCAAAAAAATTGAATAGGATGGATGGCAATTAGCCCTTCCTGCACTTTACGAGCATCCTGGGTTTACGCTGTGTAAGCGGGTTAGACAGGGAGGTGGTGGCACATGGGCATCCGTTCCGGGAGCGGTAACTAACCTGTTCCTTAAATCTTCAACTGTATTCTTATTTTATATAGTCACTTTGCTTTACAGAGCTTTTTCAAAATTTTGCTATCTGTCAAGTCAAGCTATTTTCCAGTGTGTGGCTGACAACATAATCTGTGCAGACAATACATGTTATCAGACACACCGATTTCCCAATTTGCTTATTCAGAACTCAGCTTGGTGTTCTTGTAACAGTATAGCAACTTGGTCAAGCAGTTACTCATGTATTTATTATTCCTTTTCTTTTCTTTCTCTAGAATCCAGCAACTATCACTCGAATACTGCTTAGCCATTTCAACTGGGATAAGGAGAAGCTGATGGAGAGGTAAGCAGCCATCTTAGCATGCAGCCGTGTTTTTTGCTTCCGACCTGCAAGAAATGTTTATTACCAGATTAACGTGAGAATGGATGAATCTCTTGTGTGAGCTCTAAATGTTCCCCCTTAGACTTTACCGGCTGAGAGTGACTCCTTTGAAAAAATATTAATAATGCCTATTAGAGTTCAGAGAAGTTTTGGAAGTTAGTTGTCCCTTGGAGGAAGGGACGCCTTCCAGTTTGAACACATACAGGCACGGGATTTTCATGGGCTCTGGAAGAAAGCAAGCAGGAACAGGTTCCTGTTATCTTGCAACTGTTTTGGATTTGGTTGCTCTCGCATGTCATTCTAATATGCGTGCTCCTGCCATGTTTATTTGTTAGTCTCACTGAGACTAAATGGTTTCTGACTGATAAAGGTGCTGGTGAAGTGCATCTGCCTTCCTTGTCTTCATCTTTGCAGCTCTAGGGGTATTTTTTAGTGTGTGTGTGTAAATAATGGCTTGAATTTTGCCCCTTCCCACTCCTCGGAGCAGAGCATTTTATGGTTACTTCTCATCTTTGATTCCCAGCTCTTGGGGAATGTTGCTGGTAAAGGTACTTTTTATAGTTTGTTATTACACAGTGGAGGCCCGTCGTGGTTTAACCCCCACCAGCAACTAGGACCGTGCAGCCATTTACTCACTCTCCCCTGGCCCCAGTGCGGGGGACGATCAGTCCGGACCAGGCACAGCATAAAGGCAGTACAGGGACTTACTGGTTGTTATGGTCTTTGCTGGTCTTAACAGCTATTATGAGACAGAATCGTGTGGGTTGGGGGTGAGGGCAGAAGGACTCTGCCTGGTGGGATGGTTTGTGTGGCCGTTTCTCCATTGCCCTTTCCTTTGCCTGGTGATCAGGAGATAAAGAATGCTTTGTAGTCTTCAAACCCCACGCAGAAACAATTGGTGGTGGTGCTGTTGAATTGATAAATACCTGTTAAGGTATTAAGCTCGTGTAGTTTGGTGCTCTTTCACGCAGGGCATGAGCATGGAAGAGCAGCAGGTTTTTGGTCTGCTAGTAGATAGTTCTGGAGTTTAAATATTTCCATTCTCCTGGGATAAGGGATTTAGGACACCTTTAGCCCCCTTTTTGTAACACTTTTCAGTTAGTGATGGCTCTCAGGTATCTCTTATGTTTTGTTTGGCCTAGATTTTTTTTTTTCTGAAGGGATTATATTATTTTAAAGCTTTCTTGTCTTTGCTTTTTTCCCTGAGATTGACCTCTTTTAGTTAATGTTGGAAGTATGAAAGCTTTGTGTTACAAATATAGTCACATTGAGGCTATTTAACTCTGACTACAACTGTTAAGCATTCTGATTTAGTTTCTTCTCTCTATCATGTGTCTGTTCACTTCTTTGTGTTTGAGTTTCTTGCGCTGTTCTTTTGATCAGGCTAAAGTTCAACTCTCCTTGCCTACCTCCGTCTCACTTTGAGATACCTCTGTGTAAGTGTACTCAGATGTCAGCTGATATTCAGTAGGTTTTTTAGCTTGTTTAAGGCTGCCGTCAATTAAAAAATAAAAATAAAAATTGGGCTGTGGGGTCTTTCAAAGGATGCTGTCAGCCACTTTTATGTGAGGTGTTATTGTTAAGGCTTTTACAGTTTCCAACCAAAACATTTTAAGTACATGTAAATATTTACAAAGTCACTGGGTAAATATTTACTCTTGGTACATATTCATTAAAATACTTATCTTAATTCTATAGGATTGCTCCTGTGAGTAATGTAGTACGTGACCCTTCCTTACACAGACCTATCGCACACTAGTCACAGTTTTGGTGCTGATGTCACATTACATTAGAAAAAAACATTTAAACGTTTCTCTCTCAAGTATCTGGTGCTGTTTTCTGTCACTTCTTCACCAAATAGCTTCCACCAAGCCCTTTGCAGTGTTCCGCTGGTGCTCAGCTGGGTTCGAGCAGGAGCAGGAGGCTGGGGAAGAGCCTGAGAGCTGACTCGTAGTGTTCAAGAAGGTTTTTGTGATGGATGTGGTAATAGGTGAAGGCAGGGGTGCGAGGCAGGAGGTCACTTCAGTAGCCAGGGTGCAAAACAGTCGTGTTGAAATAGGGATGGAGCTGGAAATGATGCCGTGAGCAAGCTACAGGTCACATCTTTTTGCTGAAGTAGAGATCATTCTTGTTCAGATTAACATGAGAAGGTGATTAAGCCCAAATTTAGGCTCGGTTCATCCTCCAAAACTGAGATCACTTTTGAGACTTCACTTCGTATATGTCCAGCAAATCTTATTGCAGATTTTTGCTAGTGTCAATGAGCTAAAAAACACAGGGAAGCATTCTTGATGTGGTAGGGAGGCATGCTCTAATCAGGCAAAAAAAATAAATTTTAACACGACTTCATTTTTTTTTTTTTTAAGGGAAAGTACCCCAACCTTACATTTTACTTGAAAGTAACACTATCCATTCACTGCGTCTTCAACATCCGACCAAAAAAAAAAAAGTCTTGTGTCTGAAATCTCCAGCTCACAACCCTGTGTTGTGCTGGCTTGCCGACGGCGTGCAGCCGTCGCCGTTGGGGCTAGACCCCGGCAGAGCCTGACCCCGGAGCCGCAGATTGTGCTCACGCTGCGGAGCCGGCAGGTAACCGCTGCTCTCGCCCCGCTCGCGGGGCCCCGGGGAAAACCACTCGCACACACTGTTCTTTCACACCGATTGAATCCCTGTTCTGCAGCACTGTTGGAGACTTCATATATAATTTATTCTTTTTTTTTTTTTTCCTGGGGGAGTCTAAACAGTGAAACTGGTATAAATTTGGCCTCTTTTACTCCTGATAATCATTAGGAAGACTTCCCAGGAAATTCCTGTTGTTGCCTGCAGTCTGGGTGGGTTTAACGCTTGCGAAGATGTAATGTTTGGGTGCAATTTTGTGTGCTTGATTTCACACCAAGTCAGGGCTTGAATGCAGTTGCTTAATGGCCTGTATTTACAGTACCAAGCCAGTGTCTGGTTTACCTTAGTTCATGGTGAGTCAGCGTGACCTGACAGGCAGCCTTATCAAACTTTGCCTGTAGTAAAGCAGATAAACAAAGTGGCTTCTTTTTTTGATAAGTGTTAAAGTGTGGTGAGGTCTGAGCTCCTGAGATGAAAATTTCCGTGTTTTAAAACGTGAAAACCTCTTTATCGCTTTTTTCGTTGTTATGCGTATTTTTAATAAACGGGTTACTATTGTCTGTGCCAGCTTTGTCATGGGATAATTGCATGGCATTATTAAGAGGGCAGATATGTTACAGGTATTTATTCAACTTACAATGAAGTAATAGCCCCAATTAAAAGACTGCCCTATCCCACTGGTGGGGCACTAATTATTTGACTGTGTCTGAAAGCAAAGTTGGTGTTTTGGGGTGAATTTGTTTGTAGGATGGAACTGGGTACTGGAGGAAGTACTGGAGTTCAGCTTCTGCTATGCTGCATGTGTTTTGGAGAAGAAAGGTGTTTAATATGTTTTCCTCTGTCTCGCAAGCTTGGTTAATAGGGACAGCAGACCTTAGCTGGCGTAGATTGGGCAGATGACCTCAGAAGTAAGTGAAGGAAGTGCTTTAGCTTTTGACTTTATCTTGGTTACCTTCCAATTTTACTATGGCTGATAGTGTCCATCCCTCCCGAGGGGAGTTCTGGGGATGAACCTCCCCGTGATAAGGAGACTAAAATGCAGCTCTCCTGCTTTATGTGCCTTCCCCTGGTCATTTTTTTTAAAAAAAAGAAAAGTATTTCAGCATGCAGCCGAAGGCCCAATTTAATCCCCGGAGGTACAGAGGTACTGCAGTCCCTCGTAGGTGCTTATCTCGGTGGCCGCATGTCTCTGTTCCCTCTGAGCAGGGGACGGATGCCAGGGTGGCCCCAGTGGCTTGGCTGCTAGCCCAGATTGCCTCTTCCCCTTGCATTCAGGGTCTGACTCCTCTCTGTGGGTACCTGGCCGTCTGCTTTCCTTTGGACAAATAAGCACTTAACGCGATTCAGCAGAGGCTGAACAGATGAAAAATTGTGTATGGCAGGCTTTTTGGTATGAAGATATCTTTTACTGCAAGTATACTCATTCTCTGACATTCACAGATGCCCTTTCACTAAAGTAAATATCCTAAAGTGTGTACCAGAAGCTTTTTTTTTTTTCCCCTTAAGTGAAAAGGCTTTTTATCTTTGATACTTCCTTGGACAGGATTTGATTATGTCTAGAAAATTGTGATTAGGCAGTTACCAACAGCAGGAGGAAATTTTGAGGAAATAAAGAAGCTGACAGCTTGATCCCTCTGCCAAAAAGACCTGACGCTATTATGGACTTGGTGTCGGTAAGCAGTGAAGAAATTCTAGAAGAAAAGAACTTGCTGGTGTGTCTGTTCGTTTTAAAGTAGCAGAGAAAACAACTTTGCGATGAAGAGAATGAATTTTGAAGAAGTAATAGAACTGGTTGTTGAAGTCAGCTGTATTGAGCCAAGACCCTAGTGTTGAACAGACCGTAACATTTCTTGAGTATCAGAAGTGCTGGCATTACTGAATGTGCAAAGGGAGTAGAGGATAAAGTATTTAAAAGGCTGTACTCCTCCCTAAGATGAAAATAAGAACCAAGCAACCAAGAAGCAGCCCTTTAATAGTGAGAAGTTGAGGGATGGCTTGAAAAATCAAACCCCCTGGAGTTGTGAAGGAATCAAGGAGGGAATTAAAGGGGTTTTCTCCCGTGTTTCACAGCAGCGATGATGGCATGCAACTATATGATATAAAATATGTAGCATCACTGGGTTCAGCTGTTAGTATGGTGTGTATGGAGTTAGTTTGCTCAAAAGGGAAGTAGCAGACTAGATGGAACCTGTTAGTAATTCCCTTGTCGGTTACTTTTGGGGTGAAGGTTTGTTAGTATTAATGAATGTCTTGGCACAGATCTGTTTGGAGGCATTTGGTTCAGGGGAGGATCCGAATGTCATACAGGCGAGAAAAGCAGACGGCTGGGAGGATCCTAGCAATGAAAGTGGAATAAAGTGTCACAAGAGGTCTCAACAGAGAGATGGAAAAGGAGCTCTGGAGAAAGGTAGACATCATTTGGGATGCGTTAGATCTGCAGCAGAAACGTTAGTGAAATTCTGTGAGATTGTATGAAGTTGTAGGGAGAGCTTAGCTGGGATTGCATTTGTTTTGGCCTCCTTGGGTTCAAGAAGGGTGAATAGAAATGGAAATGAGTGGTTGAGAAGGTTTGCTGGGACAAGGCAGTGGAGAAATGTCATGCGAAGAGCTTATCTGCTCTGTTGGGAAAGGACACTACAGCTGCTGCCTGTGAATCCTTCGACAGAAGAACATGGGAAGAGTGAAGGGAGATCTGCCTGAACCATGGTCTGTGGTGATGCTTCAACAAGTGGAAAAAAAGGTGTGGTAATAGGAATAAGAGTCGTTCCTAACCATTGCAGGAACTCTTTTGACTGGGCCCTTGGTGTGTTTGCATAAGGAGTGGTGGAGCTGTTAGAGAGGTGGTGGACTTTATTCTGCAGTGCCCATCGCAACTGTGTATTTTCAGGGAGATCTGGGTTTTCTTCTGCGTTTTCTAGAGTTCTTATTTTCATATTGCCCAGTGCCAGCATGATTTTGAGTCTGAGACACATAACATGCATGTAGTTGTGGAAATTACTTGCTCAGCGCACCCTGGCACAGCAAAGAAAGCGCGCGCAGTAAAAAAGTGGTTTGTTTTTTTTTTTTTTTTTCTCTTGAATTTGTGTTTTCTCCTTCCTTTGGATGGCCCTGGAGTCTCTCAGCTGCTTTGTTTGCTTCTCCTGTGTTAAGTGTAGGGGAGACCAGGCAGTTCTGAGATGGAAACCATTTACTATGAGCTGTGGCTGTTGCACCGAAAGCTAAGCACCTGTATATCGGTGCTTTGGAAACGTTTAAATTGGTTAAAGACTCCAATCTATGCATCTTACTTGAGTTACCTTTATTGTTAACTGTTAGCCCCAAGAAACACACAATGTCGATTTTTCTCTCTGTTATTGGGGAACTACAGAAAGCCTGGGAAGGAAATGGTTGTTCTGAATGAGTTACCCCTTGGCATTCAGAGGGATTAGGTAATTCCAGGTGAAAAGCAGTTGCTGGTGACTTTCTGTCCATATTTCTTGGTGTAGGGCAGTAGATGTCGTGGCTCAGAATAGTAGCTTTTGCAGGGATTTGCAGGGTAAAAAAAAAACCAAACAAAAACAAACAAACAAAAAAAACCAAAACAAAATTGCCTGGTGCAAGTGGTGAAGTCAAGTCCTGATGTGGATATGCACCCTTAAAAACAGCCCACCATTACAAATATCTCTGGTATTTCCATAAGCATTTAGCTGACCACAAATGCCAGCGTTCTAGTTGCATCATAGCTTTTGTCTTCAAAACTATTTTCTTTGCAAACATCACACCCAACTGTCTGCTCCTTTCGAAGGGAGGATGTCCTACACTGGTTGTGCTGCGCATAAGAACAGTTTGAAGGCTGGAAACCTTCTGTGGGGTTAATATTTATTCATGACTCTTTAATAGTGCTTATAATGGGAGTGCACTGAATTCACTGGCTAAAATTGTCTAGATATAAGTAATGCTGAAAGCAAACAAAATAACTTGGTTGAGTTAAATCCCTGAGCTAACACTGAAGAACAGTGGCAAAGCCTCGTGTATACTGCAGTGCCGGAATTCACCACCACCTTCAAAATTCAGCGTCTTGAAAATTAAGATATAAAATATTTGAACTGCATCAAGAAACGTATGAACCAGCAATGAAATTAACCCTTTTTAACTGTACATCAAGTCTTGTCAGTAGGTAGTGCTGTAAGAGAGCTGCTTTGGATTTGGAACTCTTTGGGAATACTGCAGGATAAGACCGTGTAGCCGGAGGCGTTTGGGGTTAGATGTTGTATACCAGGCTCGGTCCCAGATTTGAGACACCTAATAACTTCTTTCCCCTAGCGGCAAGTCTTGGTTCTTTTCTATCTGTTGGTGGACAGCAGATTCTTATTCTGGTCTGGTTTGTGATGAGTTTAAGTATTAGCCTTGTAAAGACTCTTCAGTCTTGCCTGCTTAGCTACAGGGACAGTTGTCAGCTGCGAGTACATTTGCTGGTCTTAAAGGTGACTGCACTATGGTTAAATGCATTTTGTTTTTCTTTTTCCCCTAGGTAGGTGCCACCTTATTTGAACTGAACTCGCTCATGATGGTGGGGATGGCTTTTTTACTGGCATTGAATGGGGGATGTACATGCAGGTTAGCTGGCTAATTAGATTTGAGTTCTTTGCAGCTGCTGCGGGCTGGAGAGATATATGGTATCTCGATGTTGGGAGGAGGCTGACCTGTCTACTCATGGTTCTTTCAAATCTAGTCCTCCTTACCAAGTTGCAGAGCTTTCTGTAAGACTAAACCAAAACAGTATTTTTTTTCTTAAGAGAATAAGAATTAAAGTGGTCTTTTATCTCCCCCCAACTAATTTTGCATCCTCCCTTCCATGAGAGATCTAACCTTTGGAAGCATTGTAACCTGGAGTTATATTTTCTTAGGAGGTTGTTAAAACATCTCAGGGTGAGTGGAGACAGAAGATACCCAAACAGCCAGGGTTTTGACCCAAGAGGTGGACAGTGCGTTAGCTCTGTTGCAGGCTTTGGACATGGGTAAGGTGCTGAGTGTGAAATTGAGGATGAGTCTAACTGGAGATCAGAGTCCCGGTCTGATCAAGACCTGGTCAAGCAGCAGTTGTTCCCAGACTCTGGTGATGACTGAAGTGTGTGAAACATAGCCCTGCAGTTGCCCTAATTGGAGATCAGTGACTGTGCCGAAGTGCTCCATCAGCTGAACCAGGCGTCTGACCCTGCTGACACATTTCTCTTTGGATCAGAGAAGGAAGTGCCAAAATTGAAGTCCGGGACCTCTTTGGGGCGCACTTAATGTAAATCTGAGTACATGGAGGAAAACATGGAGTATGGGAACTAGGGACCTGCTGAATCACCAACTGTGACTGATTGCTGCTTCCTGCCTCCTCTTTAATGTGTTAGTGATTAGAATATTATGGGAAAAAGGAAGGCTTAAGCTGAAAAGAGAACTATACCTGTGGGCATCGGACCTGTGCTTTGGGAAGGTGTCCTGGACTGTGAAGTAAGATGTTCTTGCTTTGGTTTAATGCGAAGAAATCACTGTGGAGAATCGTGAATTACTTGAAATGCAGCTGAAGAATTGAATGTACCTGAATTTTCAGGGGTGTGCAATTCAAGCCCAAATCTCTGAAATGATGTAGCTGTCTGTTATTCATCTCTATGGTCAGGGCCGTGTTGTGTTTTGTTAGTGAAGAGTTTGTTAGAAGTAGTGGGTGTGTGAGGTTTTTGAAGTATTAAACCCAACTTTGTGCATTGAACTTCCAAACAGAATTTGAAAAATTACTTCTGAGGAAGATAGTTAAATTTTCATTTTCTTGTGTGTGTTATCGCAGGTACTTCGATGGCAACTTGGAGAAGCTCTTTGCAGAGTGTCATGTAATTAATCCAAGTAAAAAGTCTCGAACGCGCCAGATGAACACAAGGTCATCAGCCCAGGATATGCCTTGTCAGATCTGCTATCTCAACTACTCAAACTCGGTGAGTACCTGGCGGCCACAGCGGTAGCTGCCCACTAACTGCCCCAACTCTGCTCTCTGAAGCTCAACGTTTTGGGCAGAAGTCTTTAAGGACATCTCCAGCAATATTTAAAAAAACCCTTTGAAATGAAACAGAGATTTCATTTGTCTCATTGAATCTTAATTGGTAATAGATGCGTGGAAAACGGTGTTCAAGATTGTTTCTTAACGCAACAAACCTTATGTTGTGTGCAGCAGCTGATCCAAGAAATGCGGTGGAGGACCACACAATTATGTGGTGCTTTATGCGCTTTCTTTAATTCTTACTGTGTGGTTTGACAAACTTTTTTCTTTTTTAAACAGTGTTAGTTTACCCAAAATAGGGTTGTATTTCAACTGAAATCATTATCCTGTCTGCAAAAACCTTTGAGGATGCTGGGGTCTGGGCACCAGTGTAGTAACGTTCTTCAGAAAAAAACAAAACAGTAGATCAAGTGATTTTTATTTTCTTTTTCTTTTTTTTTTTACAAAGGTCAGATACCAATTGAGATATGCCAATAAATGATACATGGAAGAAAAAGATATGTGGAAAGCGTGATGGGTGAAGGGATTAAATAGAATGACCAGACAGGAAACAGTTTATGAGAGTAGTAAATAAGGATGTGAAATAGGCGAGCTAGAAAGCCTAGAATAAAACTAAGTAAGACTAGGAATAATGTAAAGTTGTGCTATTTGGAGAACACAACCCATGCGGATGTCTTTAGATCTTTATCATGTTTGTGCAATACCTTCTTAATTGGAGAAAGAGATTGGGGTAGAAGTGGTTGCTGGGGCTCTAAGTTAGACTTCTGGTTTGTGGTAGGATTGGTGATGGCGCTTCTTTTGGTGGGGTTTTTTTTTTTTTTTTTACTTCTGGCCAACCACCATGGATTCACAAATCCTAAACTTTTTGATACACTAATGAGAGGTCCAGGCTTCTGCTGTGTTTTGCACAGGCGAGCAACTTGCTGTGACTTTCCAGGGGCAGGACATAATGATGGGAGATCCTGGAAGAAAAGGAAATTAGTGGAAAAGCTCAAACACGGGAGTCTCAGTGGCATTGCCAAAAGGCGGGGTGCTGACACGCGTGGGGAATTCTTCCTTTATTGAAATATACCGTTCCTGGTGGAGCTGTCCTGACCCTCCAAAACACCGAAACGGCTGCCTGACCCTTCAAGAGCAGAGCAGCCCTTATGCAAGGCTTCCTCCTCTTGTTCTGGGTGTGTTTTATGTGCTTGCTTTTTGGCAAGAATGGAAACTGTTTTGAGCTTTGGGGTTTAGGAGTAGCCTCGAATAACATACCCATGCTGCTGTAGGCTGACTGCAAGCCTTTTTCCTTGCTCTGGACCAGGCAGAGGAGAGCAAAGCCTGGGTTCAGGCAGCTGAGATTCTCAGCGTTAAGATCACTATTGCTCTTGAGCCAGTAACCACAAGGCTTCCTGCATCTCCTTTTAAGCCTTGTGTGCGCTGACTTCCTTTTTAGAGAACAGCTGCATAGGAGAATCGATGCTTGCTTTGTACGAAGAAGTGCTTTGCAAAAGAAAAACAAACTTGAGAAATTCGTTTGGCCCCTCTACCTTACGCTGAAATTCTACTTGTTTAATCACTGCAGACTTTCCACTTTAGGTAGTACAGAAATAATTTTGATTTTGGGCTATGCAACATTTTTTAATGGAAATGAGAGAGGGCTTGAGGGGCGGGAAAACTGGGAGGAGACATCTTCAGCATCTTCATGTCCATCTTTGGAATAGGTCCTCTTGGAAGCTCCGAATTTAAATTTCATGCTCTTAATATGTTGTTCTCCCTTTTTTAAATGCAGTTGCTGTGCCGGGTGGGAGCGATACGCGCAGCGCTCACGGCTGACAGGCCTTTCCTCTGGCTGGGGGTACACGTGCTGCCTGGGAAGCAGCTTCCTGGCTACTGGAAGGAACGGCACAAAGCACACTAACACGTCTTGGGCTTGTGGTTTGAACAGCACATTAAAAATAGTGGTCGCCCAGTTGTTAGAAGAGCAGTTTCTTAGCTGGAGCAGGGAGATGTTGCAAGTGTGCAGAGGTGTCTCTAAATTGATTTAAGAAACAACAGAGGGGAACCTCTCTGTTTCTTTGCCATACATAAAAGTTGGAACATATAGGAAAACTAATATTTATGATTTCTTCTTTAAAAGGCTGTAGTGCTTCTGTGTCTAAGGTGACTGTAAACCATCTGGTTTGAAATCTGTTTGAAGCTGTTTTGGTCAATGTGAATTATAAATTCTAGGATAAGTTATGTTCAATACCTAACCTAAAATTTCAGATTTTAAATCCTCTTACAATGATCAGCTTCCTTTCCCCCAAGAAAAAAGCTGTATTTTTTTGTGAGAGCCCCTTTCAGCCTATAGAAAGCTGGGAGCTTGGAGTAGCACCTGTTAAGAGGTTTTTCCGATGTATGGCTATTACTGAAATGTAAGAGTCTTAAATATTCAGTCACTCATGGGGTCATTGCTGGTGGTATTTGTCTGGCTTTTAAAGCATGTGTAGGGGAATTACAAAGTCTTTATAGCTCTTCAGTCATCTCCAAAGAACTGTGACTTGAGGTTTTGGGAACCACCTGCAAAATGAGGCGTGTGATGTTCTCAAGGCAGCCTGGCACCCTGATGGCTGGAAAACTTAAGGGAGATATTTTTAGTCCCTCTGGATCCCTGTGAGCCAGAATCAAATCCCAGTGGTTGTTTGGGGCGAGACCCTTTACTGGTGAGGATGGGAATTGAGAGGGTCATGGCTCTGCCTGCCTCCTCTCTTGCATCTTGCCCTTCGTGTCCCAGTTGAGAGCAAGGCTGCCGGGGTGGGGGTGTTTGGGGAACGTGGTGCTGTTGTCCAAACTGTGTCTTTGTACTAAGGACACGTGGATGGCTCAGTCTGTCAGCGCTATCGTCGTTACTGAAGTAAAGAATGCCTGAGTGAGGCTGTCACGGTAAACACATCTTGGTGCAGCTGATCCCTTCTTTGATGAGTTTGATGCTACCAGAAGAGCAGGGACAGGTATCGAATGGCAGCACGGTGCTGCTAGCACTTGGCATCGCAGGAAGAGTAGGTGATGAGTATAGATAGGGTGAAAGTAGAGCTGTCCCCTGTGATAACGTGCTCTTTCAGAAGTCAGTTACCCTTTACACTCGGTTTTATGTTGGCCTGCTTGCTTGCTCCCTTGACATCTGCTGTCAGCTCAGCCAAAAATAATTGGGAACTCCCTCAAAGTAAAGAAATGAGTTGAAAGATACTCTGGATTCTTTGCAGCCTGGGAGGAAGCGTGGTGGCTGTCTTTTGTGTGGGCATTCAGCAAATCTTTTCACTGCCTGAAGTAACTGAAACAAGTCTTAAATGAAGATACGTGCTTACCCACATTCTGTAGTGCCTCCCGGTGTGTCCCTGCTGCAGGAGTATTTAGGTTCCTTAAGGGATAATCCCCTTGTCCATGCTTATTTCCCATCACGTGTGGAGAGGCCATAATTCTAGGAAAAATCAGTGTCGTCTTCAGGCTGTATGCTGTTGGCTTCCTGAAAGTTAGATGTTGGGGCTTTTCTACCATAACCCTTCATCTGCTGGGAGAAGCTGTGGCTGCCCCATCCCTGGAGGTGTTCAAGGCCAGGTTGGACGGGGCTTGGAGCAACCTGGGCTGGGGGGAGGTGGCCCTGCCCAGGGCAGGGGGTTGGAACTCGATGATCTTTAAGGTCCCTTCCAACCTAAGTCATTCTGTGATCTCCAGGGGACATCACTTGGTCACAGCACTGTCTGGAGCATCAGGTATCTGAGTCAGTAGTGCTTCAAAAGCTGGAGGTGACTTTATTTGATCAGTTTTGGAGTTGGTATACCTTGGCCCCATAGCTGACTGCCTCCTCTCTCCTTGAGCTGTGGTTCTGACAGGACGCGCCGCTCTGATTTTTGTTGCAAAGAAAGCAAAGGTTTGGGTGGGAATCTCTCTTTTTACTTGGAACAGTCAGATGCCGGGCTCACGTGTCCCCTCGCGGGCTGGTCAGGTCCGACTTAACCACCTTTGCCACTCCTGGTGGGCGCTCTCCGGCAGGGAAGGGCAGGCAGAGTCGAGCCCGCTGGCTGCGGTGTCACAGCCCGTTTCCAAACCTCAGGTTCAAACCTGCGCCTCCGCTGATGGCAGGAGTGCCAGCCGAGAGTGAATCACTACATGGCGAGGCTGCGGGAAGAACGTGCTAACGAGCACCTTCCCTGCACCATCCAAGTTGCGGTGGCATTGAAAGACGAGCATGACCCAGCTAATATGCCAGCGTGGGGTGAGCAGAATGGGCAACATGGTGGCCGTAGTCTTGAGTCTTTAATTTTGAGAGAATTTTGTTTTCTTAAAACGGACTCCTTTTCTTAGTTAACAACATCCTGCTGCTGTTTTGGGCTGTTCTGCAGAGGACAACCAGGTTTCTTTCATTTGTGGCGTTTCGTACAAGTCGATGGTATCTCGGGGTGGAGCTCTGCTTTTACCTTACTGGCTGAGAAAACACGATGGTTTGAAAAGCTAAGCCGTCAAATAATAACCTCCGTAGTGGCGTGAGCGAAGTGTTTTAAATACAGTTTGTCCTTGCCCCTGGCTCTGGGTATAAAATAACTTCAGGATGACCTGAGAAAAGTAGCTTAATTTCAGTCTTTCCTCAGCGGTGTTTGCTTCTCCACCCCTTGTGTAACCATTCAATCCCAGATGGTATCTCGAAATACTCGGTGTAGATGATGCATACACAGATGAAGGTGTCCTTGTTGCTGTCTGCAACAGCTACTCGTTATTGAGCTGTGTTGAGTAATTTACACCTGCCAATTAGGATCTTTAGTGTCTTCATCTGAGGAACATCTGGGTTTCAGAGGGAACTTTACCAAGTGAGTTTGGCAAACTTTCTGCATACGCATTGAAAGCGTTAAGTGCACACAATTCTTTCTATTTGTGGTGTTTAGTGCTCACCCAGAAACGCAGACTGCTCGCTGATCACTTGCTGTTTCCTTTACAAGAGGGAGCTAAATTAGTTCCTGCGCATAGCTGGTGTGCATATTTTGGGACTTCTGGGCAGCACCCATACGTGGTAGCAAGCCAAGTGGGGAAAATAGGAGGAAAGAAGACTCTGTATCATCTTATAACCGTGACCAGTTCAGTGGTGTTGCATTTATTTTCCTCATTTGCAAGAGTAAAACTGTGGAGAGCCGTGCTGTGCTCTATATGTGCTCCTAAAACAAGGATTGATTTAAACGGGCAGGCAGGATGGAAACGTCAGCCACACCTTTCCTTGCTGCGAGGGCTGGGGATTAAAGTCTGGCTTTGAAAGCGTGACTAAAGCTGCGTTGGGAATGTTCTGTAGCGGTGATAATGCACAATAAATAAGAGCGTCTCAAGTTTGGTGTGGGGGGTGAGAGATGAGGGGAAACCGCACAGCGTCAAGAAGGGCAAAATGATCGAGTGAATCCACGTGATAAAATGATCCGATATCCTGTGTTCTTTGTCATTGCAGTACTTTACTGGCCTAGAGTGTGGACACAAGTTCTGTATGCAGTGCTGGAGCGAATATTTAACTACCAAAATAATGGAGGAAGGCATGGGACAGGTAAAATGTGAAGTCACCTACCTCATGACATATCTGTGGAAATTCTGTGTGCCGGAGAGGAAGGGGAAAGAAAGGGGAGAATTCTTCTCCACTAAAGTTTAGAAAACCCAAAAGGACCACAAAGAAAACCCAAACCCCAAAGTTTCGGGGGTTGCAGTCTTTGCCACGGGTGAAGCTGAAGGGAACTACGGGGAGTTAGTGCGTTCGTCTCCGCTCTGGGTGGGAGGAATCGTGCTGTGCACAGTGGCACATCTGGGACGTGATGATAGAGCCCATGTGCTATTTTTGCTATGGATTGTAGTGAAGTCTGTTGCCTTGCAATTCTTTGTGATGCAAACAGGATAAACACTGTTCCTTTTATGACCTTTTTGTTGTTTTGTTTTTCCCCCAGACCATTTCATGCCCTGCTCATGGCTGTGATATCTTAGTCGATGACAATACAGTTATGTAAGTATGATGAGTTGCTACCTCTTGGCTTTCCCCTCTTTTTCCATTTTGTTATTTGTGTGCTATTCAAATAAAAAAACCCAACAAACCTACACAGAGGCTTTAAGGCGGCAGAGAGGTTGGTCTTGAACTGTTTATTTTGATACCACTTTGTGTCTCAATTTCTTGTTTCGGTCTGAAAAACCCATGCCACAGTACTTGGAGGAAAGACTCCTTGACCAATTTGGTCAGCATGACAGCGGAATAAACACCAGGCAGTCTTTCCAAACCCTGTTCAGCTGCTTTGTGCATTTTGTTTCCTTTGATTTACGTAGGAATTTAGGACTTCCTCCCTAGGTCAACACACTGGTTCACCAAGTCCTATAGCTATAGTTAATATGTGAGTCAGAGGGAAGAAGTCCTATGTAGGGTGTGTTTTATGCCCTCTGATAGAAAGCTGTTGACCCTCAAACATAAGATTCGATTAAGCTGGTATGTCAGCCTGTGTCATTTCTCTTATTAAGTTCACCAGCTGTAGGATGACTGCTTGTATGTGGTGGAGCAGTGAATTCCATGAGCTTCCTTCGCTTTTATATTGGATGATGTTATTGCATGAGTAACATCCTTCATAATTCTGAACCTTGATTAAGTTCATTTTAATTCTTCATGCTAAAAAGCATCTAAATAGAAGCTTATTATGTTACCTTATTCCTTCCTTCCTGAAGTCTGACTCACTCATTGATATTAATTTGCTGGTTTTTATATCGGTTGCTTTCAGACTAGCGATTTCCCATACCCCTCTGCATTGGTTAGTCATGAAGTGTAGGCTGTGTGGAAGTGGAAGTAGCTGACATGTTTTCGTGCCCTGTTGAGAGGTGGCTTGTAGAGTTCAGTGGGTGGAAACTGAACAGAAGTTGGCATAGTACCTTGAGTGACTTGATTGAGATTATTTTTTTTTGTTTACTGGAGTCTGGACTCAACCTGCAGCATTGTACGCTCTCCGTAGGAAATTTCTTGAGTGTTTTCTTGATTGCAGCAGTTGGAATAAGCTGTTCAAATAGTGCGTGTAGAGTAGCTGAAATCATTGGAGGCGATGGTGGTAGCAGTAGCAAGGAAAGGATGGAAGAGGAGAGCAGCACTAGCTTTTGTTGCTATGGCTTTTCTTGCTGTTGCTTGATATTAGTAGCAGGTCTGACTATCCTTATGTTTCACTTCATGGCTTTTACAGCACAGAAAACCATGAGGGTGGGGTGAATCTGTGCAGTCTTCACACCATGGGCTGCGGGCTTCCCCCCAGCATGGAAGTGGAAGAGATCCCTGGGGCCTGTGATAATAAAATGGCATCTACGTGGTAAAGCAAACAAGTTCTCTTTGGCTGAGTAAAACTATAAATGTTTTGGGGAGGTATAACCCCACCTTTCCCTGGTCTTACGGGGGATGTCTGGAGGAGGGAGGTGCTTTTTTTTTTTTTTTCTTTTGCAAAAGCCTAATGTTTTCTTTTAAAAGTGAAGATGGACAACTGCAGCAGTCTCATGATGTGGAATGAATAAAACTGTTCCAATCCCAACTGGAACCTGCACCCCTTCCTATGTCCTGAATTATGCTCTTTTTAGGTATTTTCCTTTTTACAAAGTCTCCAGCTCTTGGTTTGCAACCTATAGGAACCTAAGATTAACGTGTAATGTATAGACACATTAGTTTTCCATCAGAAAATCAGAGGAGATAGGCCAAATCATTCATTTACGCCCTTCTCAGGAGTCGCCCTCCACAAGGCAGGACATCTCCAAATTGTGTTATCTCTGTACGAGTCCAAACTCAGCAATTTGGATCGCTTTCTGGGATTTATGAGTATTTATTTATCTTATTGTCCCTTTTCTTGTTACTGTTGAGCTTAAGTAGGAAGGTTGAAGAGAGGGTCCCTCTTAGCTCTTTGAAGACCTTCAAACTGGCTGAAGGTAATCTGTTTCTATCCCTTGTTCACCCTTGCTAATGCTGCTGGTAATTGCTTTAACCTACATGCAAAGATGTTGATTTCATTAATAAGCAAGGCAGGCTGACTTTATTACTGCTGTGTCTAACGGCCGCTGCTCGTGGGTGGCAGCAGTCTGGTAGTAACTTCTGAGAATCAACCCACTCGGTGGGAATGGATGGATTTTAGGTTCCCGTATGGAGCGTTGCCTCATTTTTAATCTGCCTTTGCATAATTGCAAATACCAATGCTTCTGCGTCAGATCAGAACGTAGTCAGGTCTTGAAGTAATTCCTTTGGGAGGGTGTTTGACATCTCGCATGATGTGCGTTTTGCTAATTCTGCTGATTGGTGTCTTTGAGGAGTTTGTGTTATCAAAATGGAACAAAAGTAGGCAACTTAATGGTCTGATATGGGATTGCTGCTGTCTTTGGATGAATTTTTGAGATTGTGTAGTTCTGAACTGAGCTGCCAGAAGAGATGGAGGGTTGTCTTCGTAAGCAGTTTGCTCTTCCAACCTGGCCTCTTCGGTGCGGTTGCTTCTTTTATAGCTTGGCTCACCGAGGCCTGTACCCCAAAGGATGGTTTGTGGGCGCTGGAAGTGGTTCTCATCTCTTCGTGTGTCAAGTTGCATTTATTGTTTGTCAAAAGACAGTAATATTCAGAGCAAAGTTCTTGAAGGTCTTGACCTGAGTGGGGTGCTGTGGAGGTGCTGTTGAACTTGGAGCAGGTGAGGTTGCTAACGCGGAGTGATCATAGGCAGCTTGGTAAGCAGAAACCAGTGGATTGCATACTCCGTACGCTCTGGTTAGCTATGGAATTACATGTCATTTAAATTCCAGTTCCTGATATATACATATAATACAGTAAATTTTTAAAGGGACATTTATTATGCATAGAAGCTTGGGTATGGAGTACGAAAGTGAGATTTATAATTCATATTATAAGTTCAAATTGTTTTTTTCATTCTTCAATAAGTTTCACTCCAAAATCGCAGGCTTGCCGTGGACATGGGCCGGATGAGCTGCTTTCTCAGCTGATTTGTTTTATTTTAGCACTGGGAATTTGGCTGCCACGTGCTATGTTTATGTAATAACCAGCACGTCGTTTGGTGAGGAGCTCCCCGGACTGCTAAGGGCTAGGATTTATGCAACAGCGCGTGGTCACATGCGCTGTGCTTTAATGAACGTTGGCGTGATAACACGCAGCAGTACACTTGATTTTTGGCTGCACCCTGAAATGGATAATCTATTAATTTCAATGGTTATACGTGATATGGCCTATATAAAGCTGTATTCCACAGCAGGATTTAAACCAGAAATACTGCAAAGGTGTGTATTAGTCCAGCTTTATATTTTTATATATATAAATATATATGTATAATATATGTACATGCAGAAGACACGTCAGTCATAACTGAAAGACGTATATACAAGTGCTCAACAAAACATAATTAAATCATTTTGAATGTATCTAGGCTGGACAGTCTGCAAATGCCAGCTGGGTCGGTGTGGCCAGGAGAAAAGCGGTCACCGAGCTTTCAAGGAGTCCTGTCTGTCTAGTTTCTTTCTGCTCTCCCGCTTCCGAGCTGACTGACTTAATTTAAAGTCGATGTTGTGTACACACTCTGTGATGTTGAATTTAAATCGACTTTGTTTTTATGGTAAATAGATTAAAACCACATTAACTTTTAATCTGAAGCTGTAGCATTCCACTAAAACCCAGATAACGTTAGGTCTACCAAAGTTATTAACCACACAGCAGTTCTGGAGCTCTTTAAAGGCATTTGCCACATGCTTAATGTAAATTAACTAACGAAATTGTTTGCTCTGTTTCTTGGGCTCTACAGCAAAGTGTTCTTAAATAAAAATCCCCACGCTAAGAGGTTTAGTTCTTTTGAACTGCGTGAGCTTTCTGTATGATTCTGAAGCTAATACGAGAAGTTAAATACAGTATTTGTAGTTTTCATAATAATAAATGATCTAACAAATAGACAGAGAACAGGTAAGTACAAAAAAGTACCTGCAAGTGTAGAAGGAGGAATCAAAACCATTTGTCTGTCTTAACTCACTGGCTATGCATGGAAAAAGTGAGTTTACTATTACAGTAACTTTTCTGTGTTTCTTCCCTTTCCACAGGCGTTTGATCACAGATTCCAAGGTTAAATTAAAGTACCAGCATTTAATAACCAATAGTTTTGTAGAGGTGAGTTTTTATTTGAAATTTTTAATGGCTTCTTGTTTGGTTTTTGTCTCACGCAGAACCAAACCAGAGAAGTGAGGCTTGTTTGTAACTTTAGAGCACTTTCTTTTTTTTGCATAGTCTCTAATCAAATATGACTACAAGGTAGAGGCTTTGCAGGGGTTATTTCATAGCCCGTTGAGTTACAGGTATAGTTGTAGGAAAATATAAGAAAAAAATCTGCAGGACAAAAGACCTAGAGATACAGCAAGCAGCTGTGGATAAAGAGAATGCCAGAGCTGTTCAAAATATAGGTTCTGAGGAGCACTTGAAATTTATAGCTCTTGATTGTTACCTCAGATATTTCTGATTGAAAACAGGACACATTGTTGTAAGCAAGAACATGCCTGAAATATTTGCTATTTGAAGTAAAGCTGCAAAATTGCTTTTAGCAAAATACTAATAGCTTTGCAACCTCAAAATCAAAATAAACGTAGAGAAAGGTGCTTTGGAAGACTTTTCCACTGTCCCAGTTTCCCAGTTGTACTCGTTCAGATTCACTCTAGGGTCTGGTGTGTAAGTTGTAACTGGGATCAAGCTTTCACTCCTTGTTTGAAGTGATGTATGCAGTGGTTTTTGATTGGGTTTTGGGTCATTTGGTGTTTTGGGTTTTTTTTTAATGCAAAGCCAGAGCTAAGCATGTGTTGCAGACTGAAAGACCGGCAAAAGTCTAGTAGTGCCGACCAACACCTGGCTGCAGCACAGCAGCAACAGGCGATGAGGTGGTGTTTGAGGGGTGTTAGAAAGCAGTGCTTGTAGAAAGCTGGTGATCGTGGTTTGTGAGCAGTTTCAGAAAGGTGGCTGCAGCGGTGGGACAGATGTGGGCAGCTGCAGACAGCTCGACAGATGCTTTTTTCACTGGAAAGCTTCATAGTTTCGTATTCTTCAAATATTTTGTCTGGGTGAGCTGGGAGGTCAGCAGAAGTGTTTGTGCTCCTCATGGGTCATAAGAGGCCATTTGACAGTGAAGAGTTGACT